ATCCCAGCTACTCAGGAGGCTGAGACAGGAGAATTGCTTGAACCTGGGAAGCGGAGGTTGCAGTGAGACAAGACTGAGCCACGGCACTCTAGCCTCTGTCTTAAAAAAAAAAAAAAAAGAAAAGAAAAAGAAAAAGAGAAACAGAAACAAAAAAGAAAACAAATGTGAGAGCTCTTGTGTCACAGAGATTTTACTGTGATTTTTTTCATTAATTTATAACAAAGTATTTATGGCAAAAATAAATACGGACTCATAGCATATAAGTCCTCTGTTTCCTTACTCCCATGCTGTTCCCTGTAGTTATCTCAGGTAGACATGAAATATTTTTCTTTTTTTTTAAATCTCTAGCAAATAGATCTCCTATCTCACTGGCTCACATTGTATCAGTTTTGAACCAATCAGAATGGCTTCCTGGAGTATGTGGCTTGGTTTAAGCCAATCAGAGCCCACCCCTGGAGGTGAGGAAGAGACTCTGTATGTAAGAGGCAGAAGATGCCCAGCCAAACCCTTTGCTTTTATTACCATGAGGAAAAAGGAATAGATGCTAGTTAATTTTTTTTTATAGCTTTTACTTTCTCCCCAAAATAGAGTAAGCATATTCTCCCAGAACACTCATAGTTGTGGTCTTGTGCTATTTTAGAGGACCTGGTGCGTGCTAGATTTTAATAGGATTTTATTTGTAAACCTTTACAGCCATGACTGGTTTATTTTCGGTCATAATGAGATGAGGATCATCATCTGGTTTGGATTCTGATGTTTCTGGGCCTCCCCAGTTGGAAGATTTTATGCAGCCCCTGTAATAGTGGAAAATATGCTCAATTGTAAGGAGTTAATTGGCGCTAACTAAAGCACAGAGAACAATTTGGTGGTGATTCACAGGGAAAGGATGGTTAAGGTTTAACAATGAAGTCACAAGAAATTTTCTTTAGAATTCAGTTGCACGATTTTTTTTTTTTTTAAATAGCAGCTCAGTTATTCAAAATCATTGTGCCTGGCTCACAAGCCAGGAAATGCTCAAATGAAAGCATGTGTTTCGGTTCTGGAGTTCCAATGTAATCTTTTCTCTCTGCTAGGGTAGTGGCATTTTAGACCTGGTGAGCACTTAGGCTTTAAGTCACATGGATACAAGATCGAATCCCTGCTCTACCTTTTTGGTAGGTGGGCCTCCGTTCTCTCACCTGTAAAATGGAAGGGATTAGTGGTAGCTACTGCAGAGAATTGTGGTAAAACTTAAAACAGATCATGTAAAGCACAGTGCCTAGCATAGAGTGAGAGAGAGCGTTCAATAGTAGTTGCTAATATTGGAAGTGGTAATAGAAGATGGTGGAAAAATATGTGTCATCTTAGTCGAGTAATCTACCCTCTTGGCGCCTCAGTTTCTCCACTTATAGAATGGGGAAATGAATAGTCCTACTTTATGGAGTTGCTGGGAAGAGCAAGTGAATTAAAACATATCATTCAATGCTTGGCACATAGCAGGTGTTCAGAAAGCAGGTTGTGGCCCAGTGGTTCTCAGTCAGGGGTGATTTTGTCCCCCAGGGGTCATTTGGCAATGTCTGGAGACATTTTTTTGTTGTCACGAAGGATGGAGGGTGCTACTGGCATCTAGACTGTAGAGGCCAGCAATGTGGCTCAATATCCCACAGTGCACAGAACGGATCCCCACAACAAAGCATTATCTGGTCCAATAGATCAATAGCGCCTGACGTTGAGAAGCTCTGCTATAGTCAACAGCCTGAACATGGTCATCTTTTGCTCCTTTTGTGGCTTTTGTAACTTCTGCTTCCCACAGAGAATTGCTCCCTTGGGACAGAGGCCAATTATTAGAAGTGAAGAGAGCTAGCCTGGCCTTGTGAAGTGGTTCTGGCTGTTCTCACTTAAAAAAAAAAAAAAAAAAAAAAAAAAAAAAACGTTTAAAAATAAGGCTTAAAATAATCTCATTATTCTAAAGCACCCCAGGTTCCACCACCCCCTGAGCCGGTCTTTTCAAAGCCAACCTGGGTTTAAATAGCAGCTTCATCTGTTGTGACCTTGAGCAAGTTGTTACTGTTTTGACTGTTTTTATCCTCACTTTACTCAACTGTGAAATGGTGATATTAATACATTTACCCCCAGGGTTGTTGCAGGGATGAAATGAGTTAAGGTAACAAAAGCACTTGCCACAAAGCCCGACGCCATAGAAGGTGCACGATGACCACTGCCATGTCTTGGTGGTTGCTGCCCCTGAAATGGCATTGTGACACCTGTCCTTCCTACCTGGGTGGAAGCTTAAAAATACAAACAGAACATAGGCAGGAAGGCATTTCCCCCAAAGTCAAAGTAAATCGTACATGGAAGGATGTTGTTAATATTAATTTGTGGGATGATGAGGAACCGCCGGGGAGACTCCCTCTGGTGAGGATTTCATGAATTTCAGGAGTGCAGCTCCAGCTCCCTGCAGAGCCTAAGCTCCTCGCTCTTGGTTTCTCTGCAGAGAGGAACACCAGACCTCTCATTCTGGAGAAGCCTGCATCTTATTTTCTGACTACTTCACTTATTCCACCACAACCGATTTTCTATTTTCTAGCGGAGAAAACACAAAGCAGAAACAAAATGCATCCCCAACTCCACCAATTGTATTTTTTTTTCGCCTGGTCATTTAGGAAAACAGAATGAAGCCCCTTGGTGTCTATGTTTGTGCACAACAATTGTGTCTGCATGCTCTGTGTGGGGAGTAATGATTGTATGCATGTGGTATGTTTCTAAGTACTTATGTACATGAATATATGTCTGTACATGTGCCAGTTACATATGCATCTGTTTGTAAGGGCTTGTGTCTTTATATGTATGTGTATCTCAGGATTTATATGCAAGCCCCTATTTGTGTGCTTTGTAACTTACAAGTAAGATATATGTATGTGAATATATCATTCATGTACTCATTCATGTACTCATGTACTTATAACCATTCATGTACTCATGTACTTATAATCATAAATATAACGTGTGTCGGGATGCATATGAATACTCATACATGTGCTTATAGGCAGGTGTGCATGTGAATATTTGTGCATGTGCTGAAGGTTGTGAATATAAGTTTGTGTTGGTGCTTATGTGTATTTTAGTGAATAGCATAAATGACTGTGCATCTGGGACATTTGTGTGTGTAGGAGTGTATGTGTGCATGTGTATGTCTGTGTGTAAGAAAGAAGAGCAAAGATCTTCAGTAGATTTTTATCTTTGTGCCTATCACTTCTTTTTTTTTTTTTTTTTTTTTTTTTTTGTGACACGGAGTCTTGCACTGTCACCCAGACTGGAGTGCAGTGGCGCAATCTTGGCTCACTGCAACCTCCGCCTCCCAGGTTCAAGCGATTCTCCTTGACTCAGTCTCCCAAGTAGCTGGGATTACAGGCACCCACCACCATGCCGGGGTAATTTTTTTGTATTTTTAGTAGAGATGGGGTTTCACTATGTTGGCCAGGCTGGTCTCGAACTCCGGACCTTGTGATCTGCCCACCTTGGCCTCCCAAAGTGCTGGGATTACAAGTGTGAGCCATGGCACCCGGCCTGTGCCCATCACTTCTTGAAGAAGAATGTGTTCTTCCCACAAATCAACTTGGGAAAGAAGCAGGGACAGAGATATGTCCACGGAGAGGGAAAAATTGTATTAGTCACTTGTTCCTCCTCCCTTCGCAGTGAATACTTACTAACATTTTAAAAACTGAGTATGCATTAAAAATGTGGTGGGGAAGCTATTTTTAAAAGCTTCCTCGTGTATCTGACTTTCTCAGGAAGACCTGGAGTTGAAGGGTCCAGACTTTCACCTACAGAATCTTGCTTCGTTTACATTTCAACAAACTGCACATCCGAGAGAACGTGCTGGAAATCCCCGGCTTAGCTGTGTGTTTGCTGACCTATGGTTAAGAGTTACCACTTGGACAGTTTTTAAAATGATGAGGAGGACATTTTGCTGGTGCCGGAAAGAGAAGTCAGTGGACTCAATTCTGTTATTTTAGAAAGTTCAAATGGTAGAAGGTTGAGCTGGCGAAGCACTTACGCGTCATCTAGTTTAACTTTCTTTCTGCATGGATGAGTAAAACTGAGTGGGAGAGTTTCTAGGGGCTGGAGATAGGGCCATGAACAAAATGAACAAGGTCTTCATGGAGCTTAAACTATAGAGAGGGAGATGTGAATGCCTCATCTCTCATCCCATCTGGCCCAGCCACACTCTTTCTTTCCATTGTTCCAACCTCTTTCCTGCCTCGGGGGCTTTGCACTTGCTGTTGTTCCCTCTTCCTAAAATATTCTACATCTTCCTGGGGTCCCTCCTTCTCATCATTGAATTCTCAGCTCTAATATATATACATATATTTTTTTTGAGATGGAGCCTCACTCTCTCACTGAGGCTGGAGTGCAGTGGCGCGAACTCGGCTCACTGCAACCTCCAACTACTGGGTTCAAGTGATTCTCCTGCCTCAGCCTCCCAAGTAGCTGGGATTACAGGCACCTGCGACCACGCCCAGCTAATTTTTTTGTATTTTTAGTAGAGACGGAGTTTCACCATGTTGGCCAGGCTAGTCTTGAATTCCTGACCTCAAGTGATCGACCCACCTCGGCCTCCCAAAGAGCTGGGATTACAGGCGTGAGCCACCACACCCGGCGGTCTCAGCTCTAATATTAACACTTCCTTGTATACACAATCTAAAATAGTCCCCAGCACTCCAACCTCTGCCACTGTCTTCACATGGCCCTTTGTCATGTGTGTCTTTCTCTGTGATGCTGCCATAAGCCAAGGGACACCTGGAGCCACCAGAAGCTGGAGGAGGCAAGAATTCTGCCCTTGAGCCTTAAGAGGGAGCGTGGCCCTGCTGATGCCTTGGTTTCTGACTTCTGGCCTCCAGAACCGTGAGATAATGTATTTTCATTGTCCTAAGCCACTGAGCTTGTAGTCATTTGTCACAGCAGTCCCAGAAAACTATACCATGAAATGATTGCCTAGGTGCAAAGGGATGAGCACTCACCATGCACCAGGCACTGAACTTTCACAACCATCTTGACATGGAATCATCAGGAAGCTCCTATAGGACAGATAACATCATGTTACAAGGATATTCACTGGGTTCAGGGTCCAAATTCCAGTATGATCTCACCTCACTTTTTACCTTAGTCATGTTAGCAAAGACCCTCTTTTCAAATGAGGACATATTCTGAGGTCCTGGGTGGACATGAATTTGAGGGGCAACATTAGACCCAGTATACACCGTGAACGAAAAGTCCTGCCCTCATGTCGAATATCCTTTTGTCCTTTATTCGGTGAGTTTATTATCCTCTCTGAGTGACTGATCTGCTGACATGGATGAGTTGCCATAAATCATACTCACTCTTTTGAAGACTCTCCCTTTTCAACAAGAGTTTAGTTCATCGGTGATTCAACCCTCCACAACCTTGTGAAGGAGATTCTGTCCCCAAAACCCCACCTCTGAGTGTGTTCATAGAAACAACACAGTGTTTAGAATCAGATATTTCATGCGTTTTAACTGTGTGCTCTTTTCTTAGAAGAGGCATTTAAATGTTGAGGTCCTCAATTCCTTGCACTCTAAAATGGAGATTCTGATAATAAATTCTGGCTGACCACACAAGACTGTAAAGAGGACCAAATGCTTCGTAAATGGTTTGTAGACTGCAACAAAACTTTGTAAACTGTTAAGGCTGGGTTCGGGCAAAGGCGGGGGTGCACATTTTGTGGGGCTATATATGGATTTCTTGGCTCTCACACAGTTTTTAAATATCTTAATTTAAAATTCTTTAGGCTGGGATCCCATTCTCCAGCTCATCATGTACTACATTACTCTGTTTTTCTCATTCACCTTTTTGCTTGGATTCCGGAGCCACTACTGTTTATGGCCCCTGGAGATGAAACTGTCATGTCTGGGACCAATAACCTTTACTCTTTGATCGTCATCACCAGAGCCTGCACCCAACAGCATGAAGTGGCTCCTGCTTCTGCTCCAGCCAGAAGGGGAAACACAGATGCAAAGTTATAATACAGAAAAATAACACACAGCTTGTTGCCACTGAGTTCCCCGTTGATTTTGCTTCCCAAAGATTCCTGAGGAATCTGGACACCTGGGTAGAAGGTCTGTTGAGAAGCCACAAGTGACTGATGCCAATGAATACAGGGCTACTGTCCTCCTTTGGTCAGCCTGCATTTTAGTGGTTGGGGATGAAAGCCACAGTGTTGGAAAGAGACAGCAAATGAGATGGTGAGAGCCTGGAAAGATCAGAAGATAGTGAGGAAATATGCTTTAACAAAAATGGGGATAGCAGTAATAATAATAAATATTAATGATCACCTACTTGAACCAGGCACTGTGATTTACACTTTACATGCAATTTTCTCACTTAATGCTCACTATGGGAGCATCATTACCCTAAATTTAGGGATGAGGAATGTCTTACTTTGGATTCCCCAAACTTAGGTTCTGAAGAAAATCCTAAGATAAGGATTCAAGTCAGGTATTTTAGAGATGATCCCAGGAAAAAACAGTAGGGGAGTGGAGAATGAGACAGTAAAGAGAAGGCAGAAATAAAGTGTATATTTTGAAACTCATTGCAGTTGAGAGCACCTGAAGCTTAATTCCACTGGGAAAATTTCTGAGAAACAGTGTAGGCCCTAAACCTCGGAGCTCTCCCTGTGATGGGAAAGGGAGTTGGGGGATTTATATACCAACTCCCGATAGTCCTTGGCTGAGGGCTGCACTTCTAGCCTGCCAAATGGGTGGACAAAGTGCTTTGGTGCAAAGAAAGTCCTCAGGCATTGAATTTGGAGTTGCAAGTTAGGTTGGTCTGCATTGAAGTTATAAGATTGAGGGAACATGAGGGAGCACCAAGAATGGTCTGCTATAGGAGGTTCACGTGTGTGAGTGTGTGTACGCACATATGCACATGCATATATCTGTGTATACATATACATAGTGTGTATACCTATACACTGGACACTGAGTTGAAAGGATTTAAGCACTGGACTGAAAGTAAGACTGTTGCTTTTGGAGTCTTTGTCATGAAGGCAGACATATGCAAGTGTATGTTCATCACAGTATTCTATTCACAATAGCAAAGACATGGAATCCACCTAAAACATCCATCAACAGTGGACTGGATAAAGAAAATATGGTACATATATACCATGGACTACTATGCAGCCATAAAAAAGAGTAGGATCATGTTCTTTGCAGCAACATGGATGAAGCTGGTGGCCGTTATCCTGAGCGAATTAACACAAGAACAGAAAACCAAACATGTTGTGTTCTCATTTATAAGTGCCTAAACACTGAGTACACACACGACCACAAAGTAAAGAATGATAGACACCAGGGCCATCTTGAGCGTGGAAGGTCGGCGGAGCATGAGGATTCAAAAACCATCTATTGGGTTCTATACTTATTACCTGGGTGACAAAATTATCTGTACATCAAGCCCCTGTGATATGTGATTTGCCCATGTAGATTGCACGTGTACTCCTTGAACCTAAAATGAAAGTCAGAAAGTAAAATCAAACCAAATCATGATTTTATTAAAAATAACAGCAAAAAATATTAGATTAAAAGCCCTTAAATTTCCAGTGATACTTATCACATGACATGCTAACATCAGTAGAATGCATTGGTTAGGGCCAAGCATGGTGGTTCACACCTGTAATCCCAGAACTTTGGGAGGGCCAAAGCAGGAGGCTTGCTTGAGGCCAGGAGTTCAAGACCAGCTTGGACAACACAGTGAGATCCTGTCTTTTTATATATATATATATATATATATATAAAATTTAGCCAGGCGTGGTGGTACACGCCTGTGGTCCCAGCTACTCGGGAGGCTGAGGTAAGAGGATCTCTTGAGCTTGGGAAGTCAAGGCTACAGTGAGCTGTGATCATGCCACTGCACTCCAGCCTGGGTGCCAGAGTGAGACTCTTATTTCAAAAAAATAGAAAAATAATGCATTTGTTGCTGGACCTTATCCTCGCTAGATAATCTCTTCTGACCCTCACCATGATGCCGAAGACCCTCACAGAACATTGGGACTCATGTTCAGAACAGGCTCCTCAAGTGATCACCTTCTAATTGTCAAAGTTCTGGCTTTGCAATGAACTCACTGAAGGCATTCTGTTTCTCAATGTGAATCTACATCCTTTTCTTATCATCTCTTTACATATTTCTCATCCAATAGTGTATCTTTTTAATCCAAAAAAGATTGTGTTATTAAAGTTTTGTGTGGAGCTGTGATTGCCATTCTTGGAACTGAAGATGCAATCAGGGGAGAGAATTGATGCCTCATAATTCAATGAATAGATGTGCTTCTGTGGTAATTTCTTCAGTAATTACTTGTGTAAACTATGTGTTTCTGTAATTGAAATGCTACAGTGTGGGGCAATTTATCAAAATCCATAATTTATTATAGCTTTTTCATCTTGTTTCTTGGTTTCTCTGCTTGTCCTCATTAGAATGTTGTCTCCTCACCACCACTTCAGTCCATCATAACCATTTAGACTAGGAAGCAAAAACATACATTGCCTTTGGAAAAAAAGGTTCTGATGAACTTAGTTTAAAGTTTAAAATCCATTTTCCAAAGGACACAATTGTTATTTTTTTTTTGCTGTATGTATTTTATGACAAGCTCTAAGATGTGATTTATGAAATGGCTTTGAAGAGATTGTCTACCTCAAGTGTTTGGATAATAATGCCATTTTTCTTTTACTGTTACCAAGTATTCTGTGTGTGTCATGTTTATAAAAGCCTGAGAAAGGAGGCAGGGACTAGAATGTGTATTTTGCCAGCAGAGGACACACAATTACAGAGCAATTTGAGAGAAAACCTGTCTCCTGACCTGAGCTATTGCTTTGAGGCCATGGGATCACGAGAGGCGACAGCTTTTTAGTCCCATTCCAAGCCCATGCTAAAGCTACCCCAGTAAACTGAGGAGCTATCCTTGGTTTTCACGACTGTTTCTAATGGATCACAGAAAACAAGCAAAGTAGTTTGCGGTGTTTGAGGATCCCTAAACTCAAAAACAATAGAAAGAAAGTTTAGAGAGACTTCAACAGTCTAATATATTTTTAAAACAAAATTTACTTATTTTATCATCATCAAAATCAAACACAGAAAAGATGAAAAAAGTAGAAAACACCATTTTTCTCCTCTGTCCAGAAGATAATTTACTATTAGTACAATATCTGACATAGTTTTTTCTAGTATTTTTTCTCTGCATAATTTTTACGTTACTTAATATCGTTTGATATTGCATAATTTTATAATTTCCCCATGGCATTCAACATAATCAGAAACATAGGTTTAAAGTTTTCTTGAGGTTTCTCAGATATAATTTACATGTGGTAAAATTCATCCTTTTTGGTGCATAGTTTTATGAATTTTGACAAATGTGGACCATAATCAAGATACAGAATAGTTCCACTGCCACCAAAAATTCCCACATAAACCTTTGTGATTAACTCTCATCTTCATCCTCAGTGTCTGATAACCACAAATCTTTCTTCCATTCCTCTAGGAGTACATCAGTTAATGACTGCATAATACAACAATAAGTAGTTACACCATAATTTTCCAAATTATTACACCCCTATAAAATATTTCATTTATTCTAATTTTTTAAAAATATGTTTTTCTTTTTCTTTTCTTTTCTTTTCTTTTTCTTTTTTGAGGTGAAGTTTCATTCTTGTCACCTAGGCTGGAGTGCAATGGTGTGATCTTGGCTCACTGCAACCTCCGCCTCCCAAGTTTAAGTGATTCTTCTGCCTCAGCCTTCTGAGTAGCTGGGATTACAGGCACCTGCCACCATGCCCAGCTAATTTTTGCATTTTTAGTAGAGATGGAGTTTCACCATATTGGCCAGGCTGGTCTTCAACTCCTAACCTCAACTGATTTGCCCCCACTAGGCCTCCCACAGTACTGGGATTACAGGCGTGAGCCACCGCACCTGGCCCTTAAATTTTGTTTTCTGGTATAAATGATACTGCACTAAACATTTTTGTGCATATATGTTTTCCAGGATTTTAGGTCATTACCTTATTATGGGATTCCAGAAGTGGAGCTGGTATGGCAGAGTTATGAAACATATTAACCCTGACTCAAGAACCAGACACCAAATTAAGATCCTTGATGCTGAAAGTCCAGAGAAACCAGTACAGGAGAAAGACTGTGGAATTTGGAGTAGTAGGACAACATTAGTGTTGGATCCCAGCATTTCTGATCATACCACTATTCTGTTTAGCCGTTAATACCGTCTCAGTGACCCCAGAAAAGATGTAACTGTTTGACAGTTAAAATCTTTTATTGGCCGGGCACGGTGGCTCACGCCTGTAATCCCTGCACTTTGGGAGGCCAAGGTGGGCAGATCACGAGGTCAGGAGATCGAGACCATCCTGGCCAACATGGTGAAACCCCGTCTCTACGAAAAATACAAAAATTAGCCAGATGTGGTGGTACACACCTGTAATCCCAGCTACTCAGGAGGCTGAGGCAGGAGAATGGTGTGAACCCGGGAGGCAGAGCTTGCAGTGAGCCGAGATCGTGCCAGCCTGGGCGACAGAGTGAGACTCTGCCTCAAAAAAAAAAAATCTTTTATTATCTGACTATGCCTATTTCCACCCCCGATCTATATCCGTAGCTATATCTATGGTGTATTCTATGTGCCTTGTACTTGCACATGGTGCAAGCTTCTTTCATGGTTCCTGTCTTTGTACATTTTTGTTCTTCTTTCTGAAACACCTTCTTTCCCTTCCAGTGTCTTCTTTGCTAGTCTTTTTAACCATATTCCCCAATGCCGAGATGTGCTGGGTGTCCTTGCTTTGTGTGTTCACAGTTCTTTATGCTTATCTCTATGTCAGGGCTCATTCATTTGTTCTTATACTCCACAATGATATATTGAGAGTTGACAATGTTCTGGGTACGACAGACATGGCAGCCAATGAGAGAGACAAAATTCCTGTCAAATGAGAAATGCTATTCTCACTGGGGAGCAGAGGACGCTGCAGCAGAGATCTAAATAATGAAAAGAAGTAGCCACAGGGATATGTAGAGGAAAAGTTATTTAGGCAGATAGAAAAACAAATGCAGGCCAGGTGCAGTGGCTCACGCCTGTAATCCCAGCAATTTGGGAGGCCAAAGCAGGTGGATCACCTGAGGTCAGGAGTTTGAGACCGGCCTGACCAACATGGTGAAACTCCATCTCTACTAAAAATACAAAAATTAGCCAGGTGTGATTGCACACACATATAGTCCCAGCTACCTGGGAGGCTGAGACATGAGAATCACTTAAACCCAGAAGGTAGAGGTTGCAGTGAGCTGAGATCACACTGCTGCACGCCAGTTCAGGCAACAGAGCGAGACTCTGTCTCCAAAAAAAAAAAAAAAAAAAAAAAAAAAAATATATATATATATATATATATATATATGTGAAATGGTGTGGTTAAGAGACATACAGAGATAGAATACACTAGAATGTGGGGCATTGTGTTGTAAATGGTAAAAAGAAATGGGATGGTGGTTGGAGGGAGATGTGGTATTAAGGGAAGTGTTCTTAAAAATGAGAGTGACCGTAGCATGCATATACACTTACAGAAATAATCCACAAAGAGGGTAAAATTGATGCAGAAGAGATGGGGGACAATCGAAGCAGTGAAATCCTTGAGGAAGCAAGGGACTTTGCATAGGTGGAGGGGTTGGCCTTAGATAGTCCAGCCAATATAACCGGGAAGGTCAGAATCAGTCCCCACAGAGGCTTGTGTATTTGGTGGTGGGGGTGGGGTGATGAAGAGGTCCTTATACAAGAGGATGGTCATCAATTTTCTAAGGATTGGAGAAGCATTGGAGGTTGGGAGAGAAGACACCAAGTAGTCATCTTGGAAAAACAGAAAGGCAAACTTTCTAGGGAAACAGTGGAACTTTTCAGCAGGACTGTGGTCATAAGGGTAAGGAGAGGTCAATAAGCTTGGTGTATGTTTTCTCCAATCATTCTGAGCTGCCTAGGCTTCAGGCACAGAATGGTGAAGTTCTGGGTTTAATCTAGATGTAGCTTGGCTGGGGAAACAAAATGGAGAGGAGATAAGAGCGTTAAAGGTGTCCCCAAGTAAGATGATAAGAGTGCTTGACTCCAAATCTAAACTGTGAGGGGAAGAAAGTAAGAGCAGACAAGAGATGATGAGTAATGAGGTAGTCATGGGGGACCATGGATTAGATGTCTCATTGGTGGAGAAGAATGAGCAGACGAAGGGGCTTCACCAGGGTGAGCTGGAAAAATAAGAGGGTGTAATTGGACAATGAAATGTTTAGGTTTGAGATCTTGGGTCTGGTGCACTCAAAGTCCTACAGAGTAACGAGGTAAGTAAGGGGCTGAGGTGGGGCAGAAAACCAGACTTTTGGAGGTAGGGGGGAAAAGACCTGAGAAGCGAGGGGATTGGATGGATAATTTATGTGGATTTAGACTCACGAGGATGGAAGACAGGAATAGCAGTGGACAGGAA